CTCCCCCCCCCCCCCCCCATGTGTGTGTATCTGTCCTTCTGTCCGTCCAACTATCAATCGTCTATCTGTTCTGGACTTAAATTTATGTATGTATTTATTTCATCAATTTATATAGCCAATAAATGCTTCATTTGTAAAAAGGCAAAATGGAAGTTTCACTTGGAATCAGATTGATAGCAACCTTAACACTGACAACTGTGATTGTAGTTCCTTGAAATGAATGGGGTTTTTCCCCCTTCTTTGCTCTTTTTTCTTTTTTCTCCCCCCACCCTTTTTTTCCCCCAAACCCCCCAAATGGCTGTGACCCTTTTGTGTCTTTCGGCTTAGTCTGTCGAGTGGTGTGATGGGGAAAAAACCCTTCTAATTCAGCTTGCAATGTGGCAAAGGGTTTAAAACCAAATTTGGTCCACGCACGTTCTGTTACGCTGTTTTACGTTGACATCCACCTGGAGCGGATAGCCCTACGCTGAATCAAATTCCCCAGTCGTTCTGATCAGTTTTATACGCAACTATCGCTCTCGGAGTCAAATGACTATCTCTTTAAGTGTAGCCAAATTTAGTCATGTAATATGCAAAATGCACAGCCATTGAATTGACATGCTTAATTAATTTCACAACTAATGCTAGTTTTATGTCTGTAAAGTGTCATTGACCGTAATAAAGAATCTCTCTTTGCTTTCGCTGCTCATATCAATCTGAAGTAGATTAATCTACTACAGCTAGCCCTGTTTTTGCAGAGAATTTCTTCTTGGGTGCCTTAATTTACAGACAGATTTTGCCCTGTATCAAGCCTTCCCCCCCCTCATTTGTACAACTTTGTGGGAATCTTGATGGTCCTAACCCTGGACCAGATTCATATCAATCTGAAGTAGATTAATCTACTACAGCTAGCTCTGTTTTTGCAGAGAATTTCTTCTTGGGTGCCTTAATTTACAGACAGATTTTGCCCTGTATCAAGCCTTCCCCCCGCCCCCCATTTGTACAACTTTGTGGGAATCTTGACGGTCCTAACCCTGGGCGCCAACAATGCTTTGGCACTTGCTGTTGTCGAAGAAAGTAGCAAATAATTTCTGACAAACCCAAGACTGCTATTCCAGAGAGACAGAGAGAGGCTAAGCATATCGTAATAATTCCATTCTTCCAAATGTCTTTAGTACAATACTGACTTTTCCTCCCCGCCCCAACCTTACTGGCAAATGCTGCATTAAGTAACAATATTCATTAAGCACCACAGAGCTAATATGCAATAAAGAAATAATCCACAGGCCTCGGTCTGCGCGTCTCCCTAGAAGAGTTAATATAATTAAAGATTAAAATACTGTGTGCTTTCTTCAAGATTGAGATTCCTTTCTTATACAAAAGGGGAATTGCATTAATAAGGAAGAGATCATTTTCCAATAACTTTCGATATGAAAGAAGATATATCTGATATCCGCGTGCGCTGGCTTATCACACCGTTCCTTGAGTATTGCGTTTTCGGGGTATTAAATTAGCAAGTGCAAAACCAGGGTGGATTCTCTAAGAATGATGCATCTCTGCATCCTGTTCAATGGACCCTACATAATCAACCTATGGAACTTGATGCTACCTGATATGGGGGTGGCCAGCAATTTAAATGATTTTCAGTGGAACTATCGGCTCATCCATTCATTGCATTTTCATTGCATTGGAGAGGCAAAGGTGGTTTAACTACAGTAAGAAGAGGACTCGTCCTCAGCCCGAAATTATTCTGTTGAAATAAAAAAGACTTAAGTCAATATTATTTTCAAATGTAAGGCGATTGCCGACCCGTACAAAAGGGGTGTGTTTTGTACTCATTTGTGTGATTGCACTGCTCTCACGTACTCAGCACGGCAATGGTATTGTGGTTTTTTCCATATTTTTTTTTTCCACTCCAGCTCAACTCTCTTTTGCTTTCTGAGATTCTGTTCATCTGCTCTTGCAGATTTGTTCATAATAGTTTCAACTCTTTAGGAAAAGCCAAACGTATATCATTGATCAGAAAACGATTCCTTATAAAATTAAGTTGTGTTCTGTTGGGTCAAGGGTTTGGGGAGAAGGTTGCATCTTCCACATTCCATCTTCTTTATCTTATTCTAGAACAACACAATCTGCCTTTGGCTGTATTCAGATTTTGTTTTGACGTTTCTGTCCGTGTATTGAGTTACTGCACATTTTCTTAGAAATGCTTTTTTTTTTTTTCCTAAAGAGCTGGAGCTGATCGATCCCGATTGATGGCCAAGGAATTTGCAACAGTAGCGGCAGCTTATGGTGTCTCCACTAAAAAAGATTTGTAGTTAGCCAGATGGGGGTGAGAAAAGGGAGGGGGAAAAAATCACTTATGGGATAAGTATCTTCATTGCAATAAATGACCTTACTAATGCAGTGCCCAGATAAATGGTGGGCTACTCATTGTGTAGGCCAACATGAATTAACAGAAAAATGGGGTCCTGTCATTCATGAAGGACAGGGAAGGG